TCCTCTCGCTGCAGTCCAATGGAGGGTCTTCATAATACGGCCAAACTTTGTCTCATCGGGGTACTGGGTCAGAAACTCGTCAATCCCATCGAGAATGACAAGTACCTTTTGGGGGTTGGCGTCAATAAACGAAACCAAATCAGCTTTGTTGATGTTTGTACGTAGTCTCAGCAGTTGATCATAAATCGCGCCAACGAGGTCAGACTCCTGGTGAAAGGGTCCCATTCGCAGAGATCCAACAAACTTAAATTGCTGCAGTACGGGACTGGAACCAGCTGCCCAATCGTACGTAATGTTTTCCAAAAGAAAGGCTCTGTCTTCGTCATCTCGCCCAGAGAGAAAGACCACTTCAAATGGATTGCCGTCTTGTTTTTTCCTGCCGAAAATATCCTCATATTTTAGTACGCTTTTGCCACTCATTTCAGACAAGAGCTTGGGCAATACCATCTCAGTCTTATCATCCACCCATTTGATTATTTGTGCATAACTACCTGTTGTCGTGTACAGTGTCTTTAATACCTCTTCGCATTTATCAGCAGCATGTTCGGCTGGGTCGCCACTGTAAACCGTTGTTTCTGAGCTGGATCGTCGAAATTGCTTTTGCTGTGGCAATTTCATCGCTCCGCTTATGTCCTTCTCACCACCTGTGCAACAAATAATTATTGGATCAAATAGATGGTTACGTTTAGATAGTTACCTCATGCGAAGAAAACACTCGCGTGATAGGTGTACAAATAACAATCGCATAATTCTAAATGAGAAGTGGACCATTTTCAAGTTCTAGAAAAAAATCATCGCCGGAGTAGCCTAGATAGTCAGGTAAAAAAGCCAGATCTATTGGTTGCCCTCAAGATTCATGGAGGGCATATCTTCGTAATTTTGTAGCCTGGGCCTTTGCAATTAAATCTGTGGTTTTTATCCTGCTATCATTTGATAATCTTTGCAATGGCTATAGCTATACCTATGGTCATACGTGATGCCTTTGTTGCCTCTTCAAATCGACCAGCACCCACTTCAGCGGGATAGTCACTACCAGTCGTAGTAACTGAGTCGTCTTCTCCGAATTGTCCTGGCTGCATTTTCGTCTTATTGCTTGCATCCTGTCCATTACCTGTGCAAACATGATTGAACCAAGAGGCGTGTTCATATATTAAGGCACTTTTCCAGCAGAGTTACATTTTTTTCAGCTTTACTCTTCATTTCGGATCAATATAATTCACGCACGACTTCGGTGTCCAAGCCCTAAATAAAAAGGCTGATTTGGAATGTGCATAGTGTACACTTTACATGCAACATCTTTTCTCCTCATACTTTCTAACGATTAGGGTCGCTAGAAATAACAATAGATTAGATCGGCAGTACTTCTAAACTCACATATCTGTGGAAAGTGACTGTGAAAGCTTGACTGTTAAACAAATCGTGTATAGGCCTACTTACGTTCATACTTTTCCAGCTCATCGAAAAATCTACAGGCCTGTTCATAGTCTTTTTCCGGTATAGTCACTCGGATGGCCAAGCCAGTCTTATCTTCTGTTGTAAGTTCATCCGTGATGAAAATCTCTGTCAGTTTCTTTGCGAGTTCTCCAGTAGAGTACGTAAGCCATAGACACTCCAAACCGACCCGACTCTCAACACGAAAGATGAACGTCACCGATCCGCGCGTCACATCGTGAAGATTCACTTGTTGCCATTTGTCAAGAATTTTGAGGATTTTTTCGGCAACAACTTCTGGGCCATAAATTCTCATTTGGTATAATATAAAATCCTCCAACTTCTCAGTTAAAATGTCGTCAATTTCGTCCGTGTTTGTGACATCCGTTCTCATTCTTACCAAAGGCCGTCCTGTTTGAGAGACAAACAAATGTGTTGTTAATTTGCATGCTCTCCACTGCTGACTGCTGTCATTGCCATAATCTGCCTAGGTAGCGATTTTGTGGTCATGTTAATAAAGGAAAACTATGTACTTTGCTGGTCTGAAACATTATAACTGGCTCAGGCAGGACAACAGATCCAACTAATGCCCTGGCATCAGTGAAACGACAGAAACCCTTTTGTAAACACTAATCGGATTTTCAACTTTATAACACTAAATTTGTACCTGTATCAGATTTTAGTCGGGTAATATTATTTTCTTTCATGTGAACACATGTATTATTTCCACTGGCCTTCCTATGAGTATAAAGGACTCGTTTATGGTCATGTTGTTCGGTCCAGCGGGAGACGTTGAGACGCTTGATGGCGGCAAACACGACGGTCCTTTTTGGTTGATATGAGCATACGCTTACAGTTCCAGACATTCCCTTTAATTTTGAGCACGCGCATAACAGTGGAAAGAACCATTTTGTCGGCCCTCATCACGCATCTGAGAAACGAAATAAAAATGTCAAAATGAACTTCGCATTGTTCATTCTAAATTTGTTGTTGGCGGTATTGTTTTAATTTTGTTTTGTTTTGCTTTTGATAGGCTATTCAAGAAAGTATGTATTTGTATTGCAGAATTGTTGTGTTATCTTTAAGTTAGTAATCGTTAAGATCGAGAGAGTCCCTAAATCCAAGCTGACTAGATATGCATCATGACCTGTTATACATTAAATTTGTTATCGTGGAGGTAGGGAGGTATCCTGGCTAAGGCGCAGTTTTCTTGAAAAAATTAAGCATCTCTGTGTTTTGCAGACTAACATTTGTAGAGGAAATTTATGTTTATTTCTATTTTTTATATTTAATTTTCCAAACAAGTTGAAACTTATGAAACTTTTGAAGATGCAAGGCCAAGGATGGGATGATGTATTTGTATGGGTCGGTATGATGGGAACATCCGTACACTGCTAGACCCTCGTGATCCCTCCATCTGCGACCCTCTTTGCCTTCGTCCTTATGAGACACAACATTGACACCGCTGCCCTCAGCGAGACCGTCTGGCTGGTTAAAGGACTCTCTTACGGAGGTCGAAACAGCTTCCAGAGGACGCAGCTCGAATTTGTGATGTTGCTTTTGCGATCAAGTCTTCTTTTCTGAACCGTCTACCAGAGTCTCCTGTCGGCAACAGCGAGCGGCTTATGACGCTGCCTGTCCCTCTCGCAAACGGGAGACACGCCACAATCTTCAGTGCCTATGCATCAACTTTCAAGTGAAGACAATGGAGACACATTTTACGATCTCCTTGAAGCCATCGTACGTGACACCCCGCAGTCAGACAAGGAGACCCTTTTAGGTTTCAATGTGCGTGTTGTAACCAACCATGTTGTTTGGGGCGGTGTCATTGGCAGACATGGTGCTGGTTTCGCCGTCGCTAATGGCCTCCCTTTTCACCTTTGTGCTGATGATGATCTATCCCTAATAGAGTCGTTCAGCTGCCCAACAAGCTGAAAACGACACGGATGCATCCGCAGTCTAAGCATTGGCATCTTACTGACAATGTCAATGTCCGATGCAGAGACCTGCAAGATGTGACCATCACCAGGATCAAGCGTGGTGCTGACTGCTCTACTGATCTTCGACTTAACCATTCCATCCTCAACTTTAAGATCAAAATACCTGTTCGGGAGACAAGCAGTTGGAAGCAGATTGAGTGTACGCGACGCGACCAAGGTAACCGGCAAGCTCCTTCAACCACTGATGTCACTGCTGTCCCCATCGACAGCACTCCTACGGCGCAAAAGGGGAGCCCTGTTGACAACTGTCCTTGACGCTGCTGTTGTCACTCTTGGATTAACAGCCAGGCGCCACCACGACGACAATGTCCCTGATTTTCATCTGCAGCAAAGGAAAAATGCTGCCCACAATGCAGCCATAAACAACCCATCCGCTGCTGTGCTTTGGTTCCGGTTTGTCCATATGAAGCAAGATATGGGACGGAGAGCACCCCACACCTTTCTTATGGTCATTGTTTGATCAGAATCTCAGGAATTCTTTACAGCCATCTAGGGGTGATGTGTTAGGTAACAGTAGACCAAGTCTAGAGTGTGTATAGGGATCGGATATGGGGGGGTACCCCTCCGTCCCATATCTTGCCGGGTATAAGTTTGTCAGGCTGCACTCCGTTGCACAGATCTGTCTCTGTCAAATGGAGAATGAATGCCGAAGAGACAAGGCGCGCAAGATCCAGCGTATTGTAGACAATCAAGATCTCTACGGTTTTTATGACGCTGTTTACACGGCGATTTGAGCGATCAAACTGGAAAATGTGGTTTCGTAACTGGTCGAAATGGAATGCCACATTGGTTTCTTGATGGAAGAGGACGTCTGACGAGAAAACTATTGGCAAAGCCCACTCGCCACTCAATCAAGCCATAGTAATTAATCCAGCTGCGGGTCTGCACTTGGCTTGTAACAACATCCCATGAGATGCGATAAGAGTAGCTGAAATAAAGAGATCCTCGAAATTCTGGTTCGACCTGCCAAACAATCGGAGTTCAGGCTGCTGCACTCGGGTATTCTGGTAAACAAGAATTCGCGGCACACAGGATCCTCCATGCAAGAGTTGCCTTTGGACGTCTTGCCCACCGAGTGTTTCTAAACCACAACCTCACAGTTAGCAAGAAGGTCGCTGTTTAAAAGGCTGTATGTGTAAGCACGTTATTGTACGGCTGGGAGGCCTGGACAGTCTATCGTGCCCATGTCAGGATTCTCGAGACGTTCCACATCAGTTGTCTCCAGCGGTTCTTGGCCTCACTTGGGAAGACCGCGTACCTCATAACACCATTATCCTGCAAAGGGCTGGTGCCGTCAGTGTAGAAGATCTCGTCATCCGCAGACAGCTCCGGTGGGTAGGGCACGTAGTCAGCATGTCCAAGAATCGACATCCCGATACCTTGCTGTATTGCAAACTCGTCAACAGAATTCGTAAGGTCGGGTGCCAGAAGAGAAGAGACGACATTTCGCTCATCTGCCTGGAGCAGCTCGCGTCAGATTGCTCAAAATAGCGTGCAATAATTATTTCATTCATATACAACAGTTCAGGTATTCGAAACCGGTGTTGGGAAACTGTTGAATCACAATGTAAGCGAGGTCAACGTACTGGCATGCAATTTATTTTGTTTGTATGCAACCTGTTGAACCTTGCTCAGCTCGTATGGAAAATACTGTCAAGCTCCGTGACGTCTATTTGCCAGCGTTGGCACGATCTTGGTGCATATGGTGTGTGTATGGAATGGTAAAGCGTACATATGTATGCGATGACACTTCAGAAAAGTGCGTGAAATGTATAACCAAGTACACACACCAGTGTATTATTCCTTCCCTGTAATTATTATGAGAGATGGTCAATTGGAAGAGAAGATAGATACTATAAGTAAAGGAATAGTGAGCTATGACGGAGGTTTAGATAAGTGTAGAGTGTTGTTATGAATATAAAGTACAAAGCATGGGAGGGCGAGGAAGAAGTTATAAGTGCCTCTCGTAGTCGCTGTGAGGAGAAACGCAGTCGCTTGAACCAGTAGAATAATGTATATTGTTGTATGATCGTTAACCTGGTTATCGTTAAGATCGAGGCAGATACGCCGCCCGAGATATACTTCACAACATATACGTTGAATTTGTCATGAAGTACGTAAGGTTTAAAGCTTTCTAGTTGGGGTGCCTGTGAAAGAGTATGACGACTATTTTAGGAGTAGCTCCTGCATGTAAATAGATATATCACACCTAGCAAGAGGGCAGCGAAAGAAGGTTTGGTTAGAGTAAGTCTAGACAGCCAGCTTCATAATATAGAGAATGTATAAATACATGTTAGGTGTTTTTAGTGGAATTTTGGTTGAAGTGCCTCCACAATTAAAAGTAGTAAAAAGTGTTAGTTGGATTTCTTTTCTTTTTTGAAAGGATCTTATTTGCCTTAGAGCCTATTCGATTGAGTATGCATTTATGAGATTGTTTATGAATACTAGGCCTATCTTACCTTCACTAATTTAAAAGTAACGAGTTATTGAAGAAGCGAGGGGTCAAGTTGAAAAACTTCATATCTTTACGCTTTCAAATTATTACCGGTATTTACCTGCACTACTTTCTTGCACGTTGAGATTAATGTTAACAGTCGAGCCCACAATCGTAGAGTTATGTTCACCAGTAACGTTTATGGCGCCAACGGAAGCCGGTTGCAGAGATCCATGACTGTGAACAGCTGATATCGCTGACGGTGTTCCTACACGTAGCTGTGCCACCAAATCAATGATACCTTGAACTATGCTTGGGTTATCCGTTACCTGCTGCTGGCCCAAGGTTGGCAGTTCCCTGCCCATTTCCTCTTGTTGTGTCTCCTCAGTCTGACCCGTGTGTACACTGTCTATCTGCGTCTGTCCTGGAGTATGTACATGGTGTTTTGCCACTCGTATCCTGTCGTTATCACAAACCTGCTCTTGAGGGGGTTGATGCTCCTTCAATAATGCAACCCCTTTTTGCTTGCTGTGTCCTTCTATTGCCTCCTCGTCTTGTTTGTTTGGCTTCTGTCTTTCCAGATAAAAAGCCTGGGGTTGTCCTAGTGCCTTCTCCTCGCACGGTGACTGTGGCTGCGTGTTCTGGTCTTGTATTCCTACGCCTTCTTGTTTCACTGGCTCAGATGTCTCCAAACTACAAGCCTGGTCCTGTTTCAGTCTCTCACCCTCATTTGATGTCGCGAAACCTGTATCCTCTTGACAAGTTTCTGAAAGATGAGTCGATGAAATAGCTGAAATATTAGGACAGAATGTGGTCTATCACCCGACGTAAAGATGCACATTTCGTGGAATTATGTAATTGAAAGCCCAGTCTTAGTACATTTCATTTTCTCTTAAAGTTGAAAATGAAAGCTCACAAAAGAAAGTCCTAATTTTCCATCTTGAGGGTTCTTGGAATTCACTGGGTTCAGTCGGTTACTGCAAATGACATCTGCCAGAAATTTCCAGTTTCACATAGAAATGAAAAAAATCAGACGAATATATATAAGCATTCGTCCTGAACAGAGGTATTTTCACAAAATCGTCAGGATTTTGCGCAAGCTTACCTGGTAACAACAGGGCCTGCTCTGAAAGCCCGATGGCCCGCAACGCCTCTCTTAGCTTCTCAAGCCCTTCTTTACGGTTTTCCTGCCCATTCCACCAGGACAGTAGCATTTTGTGGCTGCGTTCTTTGTTGTTTTTACGGAGGGTTTGGAAGTCCTTGATTTTTGAGTCTTCATATCCTAGAACTTTTGCCAGTTCTATCCAGAAATCTTGAACTTTGGAGGACAGGTCCCGGAGCAACTCATCATCAACTTGGCCTTTGTCTTTTACAACAAAATAATAAAGCCTCTTATTACAGTAAACTGCTAAATGCTTTCTCGATTTGTTCAATTTAAAGATACAAGGAATTACATGAAGAATGCTAAACAGGATGCCAGTTATTTAAAAAAACAACAACGTTCCAATATTATGTACAAAAACAAGAACTTGATGCCTAGACAACTTTATATGGTGTCTAACATAGCAGTATTCAAAAATTCATTTTCTTTCAATTGTTTCATTTTTCGGACAATTTCTTTTTAGCGTGGTATTTTCGTGAGGATTGGACTTCACTTTCTTGCGCTTCTTCAGGATTCTAAGGACTAAATCTGACGTGTTTTTTGTCAATAACGTGACACTCAAATTTTCTGATACAAAAACGGATGAGTGCTCTTTAAAATTACAAAACCAGTGTACGAAAGTAAAGTGCATCTGACTATTGTGAAAGTAATATGATTCTATTTTTTTAGGATTAAGTGTTCCTTTTGCCATCACGTTGTCGAGCTGATCACACTGAGGGTAGAAACAGCAGTGAGTTCAATTTCATCATTTAACGTCATTCGACCTGTGGCTACCTTTTGGTCCACCACCGCGTAGGCAGTCGGTTGACTGACGAAGTAATATATTCTCATCCTGTTGTATTCCACAGTCATTCAGTGTCAGCATGTCACAGAGCTGGCAAGAGGTTAAAAGAGCAGAATTGGCATCTTTAACATTATCTTTCCATTGACTGTGATCCGGGGTCTACTCTATTCAGGCAAAGATATTTTTGAGCACATCTTATGCAACTCCATACACAAAATCCATGGCATTGAAAACATGGATTTTTTGCTAACAATAAATTGTGGTGTTGGGCAAAACAGTTGAATTACTAATAGAGTGCCAAACAATATATTTGTGCGTGGTTAAAATACGAAAGTCTACCTCTACCTTGAAGTTACGACAATTTCTCCTGATGTACAAACACTGATATTGGAGCTGGACACCAATCTTGTTGTGTATTAATTTTTTTAAGGCTGAGATGGACATCTCTGGATCCAGTTGAAAACAGAGTGCTTTCGGTCCACGAGGGAGCGGATTCCGGATAAAGATCTGCAGCTTCTGTTTCACATATCTGAAAATAAAAATTATTGTTATGTTCAGTGACATACATGTATTTCAAAATTAAGCAACCTGCTCATAACAAGGCTTTCAGATAAGGAATTTAAAGTTACGTAAGTGCAACTCACTAAAACAGCACACAATTTAATGTGTTCACAATTCAGTCAGATGATTACTTCGGCCAGCATTGTCATATATTTTACCGCAAAGCCTGAGGTCCGTCAGTTTTACAGGCTGCCTCTTTCATCTGAGTCTGCGCCTCGGAAGTTGGTTCTCCTTTTTGTTTGCTCTGTTCCTCCGCTTTTGTTTCTTCATGTTGCTCTGGCTGGGGCCTTTCTGCTTTGTCTCTTGCCTGGCAAAGTTCTGTTTACGTACAAAACGCTTGAAATCAGCAAGGCTTTTGATCGAAGGCTACCAATGCGATCTGGAAGTGTCAGTGTGAGGTGAAGTTTTAAAACAATATTAACAGTTTACATCCGTCATTGCCTATTTGCTAACCAGGTAATTTTTTAGCTAAATCAGTAAGTTCCATGGTAGTAAGTGCTTGTCTCGGCTTCTGAAAAGCTTCATCTCGATCTTTCATCTTTATCCACCAATTAAGTAGCATCTGACAGATCGCCTTACAAGCGACCTTAATGTTGGCTTGGATTTCTGCATTTTGGCATCTTCGCATCCCAGGTGTTTTGCTAGTTTCCTCCATAATGATCCAATTTTCGACAACAAGAGGCGAAGGCGGTCCTCATCGACTGTTGGTTTACCTGCCAAATGTATCATTTTTTAATTCTTACGCACTTGTTTTAAAGTGCGAATTTTTATAGAATTAGAGTAATAATCTCTCCCGATTACCCACCAGTGGTAGTAAACCAGGCTTTTACCACAAGATGTCTCTGTAAGAATTGTGCACACATACATTATAAATAGGAACCTCAAAAACAAAACAGCTTCAGGAGCAGGCTCGAGGGAACATTATGGAGGTTCACTCCCTCAGAGCAGTCGTTAGGGGAATAGCATAAACAATGCCCATTTTTCGAAGTGTTCTACCTTCCTTTTTCTTCATGTATCAATTTCCAGGATTGATGTCCAGCCAACATTTGTAGCTTTGAAAGGCAATCACTGCAACATGTTACACACAGATATGCTGAGCCTCACTCATTAGCATGCCAAATATATATATAAAATACGATCAAATATTACTTGCAAGTTTCGAATGTTGCCATTTTGCTGAAAAGGCTTCGTTAATTTAAATTAAAGCGTTGGGTAATTTGATTCGGCATACAAGCGCAGCGATTGATGGTTGTTTAGGATTTAAGCTTTCTAAAACATTTAGACAGTTTTGCTGGCTTTTAGAAAATAAAAATTAGCATTATTGATAATGCTCCTTTACCTTGTTTTGCATCATCAGATAGAACGAAATCCAGCAACTTATATCATTTCCAAGCCCCGAGGTTACAAATGATCGAAAACACCTGACTAGTCTTCGACTCCACCCATTTTCTATCACACAAACCTGACATTCCTGCACTTAATCCTTTACCATTTAGTCCGCCTTGAGTGGCATCATCAGTTGACAGTGAGATGTTCTCGTCTTTGTCAACGCCATTCTCGTGAAGTGTTAGCAAATCGCAGAGCTGACGAAGCAACCAGTCCAAAGAATGTCAGTACATTTGCGAATGAACGTTGAGGACGTCCCTCGCCTTTGGCTTGGGTAATATTATACATCGACTCCTCAATATGAACCCTTGTTAGTGGAACTTACCAAGTACTTTCCCTGCAGTTGGGGGAGGGTTCATTCTGGAGAAAATACCCACTTTGCCTGCAGGGCGATCACTTCCCAAACAATTTCCCGGGTGCAATTCCCCCCCCCCCAAATATAGGAACAGTTGGGACTGTGCCAACCACTATGAATGTGACCTTCCACTTAAATTTTGAAATAGTGTCACCGCCGACGCCGATCACTTCGTGATTGTAAGGCTTTGAGACAAAATGCGCACCCCTCTCCAACAAAAAAATGAACTTTTGTCTACCTGAATATTTCCTCGGACGTACAGACGTTGATGCTGAGGCCTGACACCGAGCTTCCTGCGAATCAACCCTTTCAAGGAGGCAATTGGTGTTTCGGGATCCAGCTCAAAACTAAGGGTCTTTGGTACGAGTGGAAGGTGAGTCTGGACACAAAACCTAAGTTTCTTTTTTGTCCTTCTGGTGGCTCTGTAAAATAAGAAATAAATAGCTGAGCAGTTAGCAGAATACAACAAAAGAAAGTTTGTTTACAAGTGCAGCCTCGCTCTAACTGAAAGAAAATTACCTTCGCTTGTCCTTCACTTGTCATAAACAGTACGATTTTTCTCCAAATAGGCCTATGTTGCTGCTCGCGAGCGGTGTCAACTTTATAGTTATCGCGGTAACAATAACAAGTACGCAGTGGCGCTTTCCTGAAGAGGGAGTTTAGAAATTCGAATTCCCTAACTAACACACGAGTAAATATGCTTGTTCACTTCTTTCCCCATCATTCTCGTTTACCTTCTATTTGCAGATTGGCATTTCTGTTGAGGAGCAGTTGATGATGCTTGCGTTTTGTTCCCAGCATGCCGGTGGCAAGAAAGTGCCCTCCTGTATGGGAGTGCTGAAAGAAATGCGTCCTTCCTATATCTTTTAACTTTGTTCTCCTTAGTGATGAGTTTTGCATTTGAGTGGTCGTACACGCCGGCCGTTGCCTTGTTGTCTTCATCCAGCTGTTTAATGGTCTTCAAAGGCATCTTCTTTGTGGGAGTCTGCATACGGTACCGGTAGCCTAAGTTGAAAGAGTTTGAAATGGTTGCTGCAAATAAATTGACACATTATGTCATAAAAGGGATGATGCCAAAGTGGAGAGAAACTACATCACAGACAAAATTGAGAGGGGAACACAAAGGCATCCAGTTTGGAGGCGACACGTAAAACTCAATCACACAAGCGTACATTTGCTGACTTGGTATGAAGCCCGAGAGGTTCTGCTTCCCGAGCTGATTTCATAAACTAACTTTTGTGATTTAACTAAAGAGGAATTTTTTTCATGGGTCCCTGTCCTCTCGTTCCACGGCACCAGGAATGGAAAGATAGACAAAGGTTTACAACTCAAGAAAACAAGTTTATTGGCCTTTTATCTCCCAAGGATTTTCTTAAAACAAAATCCTGTCGAATTTGAGATACATTTACAAATTGTGTATCCCAGCATGTTCCAAATGGGTCACTTAAAGGTACACCAGACAGCAAAAGAAACTTGCCACTTCTGTCAAAGGCCATGGATACATAAAATTCACCCCAGGTAAATAAACCATTTTTGTACACAAGTAGGCCTATGTGGCAATACCCTTTACTTATCACATGCCCAAAAGCAAGTGATTACCTTTATAACAAAGAAGAAATTGACATGCAACTTGGTTACGACATCAAAAATCACACACAAAAGCACTCTCCACCAAGCCAAAATGGCCAATGAATGGACAACATTTTCAACAACCAATGACAAAGTGAACACCTGTTTTGCCAAAATGATGTGCATGAGTGGTTTCTGCATAGGGATGCCACAGGGATAGGGATCCTTTCTAACTATGCATACACGTTATTGAAAAGTAATGATTGTGACTTCTTTATTTCGTCCTGTGACGTTGATTTCTACGTAAAACTTACGGCTCATGCTGTTACATTCTGTGACTTCTGTGACCAAGTTGCTGTGCATGTCAATTTCGTCTTTGTTATAAAGATTATCCCTTTCCTTTTGGGCATGTGATTAGTAAGGAGTATTGCAGCATACCTGTGTACAAAAATTGTTTATTTCTATGGAGTGAATTTGTATGTGTGGCCTTTGACAGAAGTGGCAAGTTTCTTTTGCTGTCTAGTTTATTTTTAACCGCCAGACTCAGGTGTCTACAATAAAGACTTTATGGGTAAGAAAGAAAGTATTAGGCCTATATTTATATCTCCAAAATATTCCAAGGTTTCCAAAGTCCAAACTTACACGAGAGAAAAACCTTTGTTAAGGCAATACCTGTACCACACTCTTCCCTTGAATCCAACAAAGGGACCCCTACTGAAGTCAATAAGACCTACTTATGGAAGCCAAGTTCCGGAAACAGCACTACATAAAGGAACCTGGCGAGCTCGCCCAGGAACAAATAATACGATCTGCGTTACGACCATTTTCCGTTCAATTCCCCATGTACAAACCTGTCATGGATACGACACTATTTTGCCAAGTTAACATGGTTAAAGTGCGTTTATTATATTTCAAAATTTAAATGTCAACTTCTACCCATGGGCCAGACCCTAGACAGAGGCAAGTTAGGGTTAGCCGTCGGCATTACTTGTCTTTAATTCTACTACGGTATTTTGCAATTCACTACACACTAACTTTGAATAAATATTTCCGTCATTACATACGAAATATGCTTTAACAGAAAAGGGAAGTTCAGTGAGCCTTCGTGTTACTTCCAGACTACAGCAATGTAGGCCACACCAACCCCACTAGTCATGCACTAATAACCGACGCTGCCAGAATCCTGACCAATAGCTTTTGGTTGGTTCCAAAGAGGACAAAATGATAGAGCAGGTTACAGCAGTGTAGTTGGTAGATAAGAAAGAAGATTCATAACAGGATCCTATTCGATCAGGTTTTCTTTTGTTTTGTTTTTTTCAAATTCCTTTTAAAGTGTTTAAGTGTTTAATTGTACCTCAGTAGTCAACTTTTAACTTCAAAGGTCTTATTTTTTTACCTTTGAGTTTCTTATTCTGAGAGAGAAAACACAGCACCTTCTCTTATTTAACATTTTATTTAATGACTTTTCTTAGGAACAAGCAGAGATCGGTGGGGAAGGCCGCATTTGCTACATGTACGTAGCTCCTTACATGTAGCTGGAAGGAAAGGGGAAGAAAACAGCGAATACATGTAAATCGCCCTTCTCTCTCAATACCTTGACTCTTTTTTTGGGGGTCCTCCTTCTTCCCTTCGCCCTTATCATGGTGATTTTCGTCCATATTAAACGCGTTGCTGTCTAAACCGCTTATCTGCTTCGCACATGGAGGCGTGGCAACAACAGATGGCGCGCTTTAGCACAGAAACAACTTTCCTTTGGTGGTAAGGTTAGAAGGACTGTGTTTGAAGTCGACTCAGACACAATTCCCACTGGTGTGTTCTCAACAGAAACGACGAAACACCGAAAAGGTCATTGATTGTGTTTGAATATATACGCATGCCCTTCCTCTCATGTTCCAATGGATAGACCCCGGGGTGTGTTTTATTCACAATTTCAATAATATACGTAGGCCTACACCACTTTTTTTTTTCAGTGCTACTCACCGTAACTACTTGCCGCGGCAAATTGGGATCTGAACATTTTAAGAAAAAAAAAGGTGGCCCTTTTACGCTTCTGTACAACATCCCAACACCACGCATTCGCCTCCTTCAAGAGGGCAAAAGGTCACGGTCAACAGATTCCCCAAACTTATACGTGGGCAGGCTAGGCCGTAGAATGGCAATTCCCTTGCATGCAAATTATTAACGTTCATCGTTACTTGTATTAGTCTACTGTCGAGTCAACTCTCTAATTAGGGCGTTTGATGTCCTCTTTTCATTAAAAATGTTTTCGGCCTACTAAATACTCTAGGGCCAGCAACAAGCAAAATCCAAAACTTGTAAAGTACCAAGCTATTTCCGGGTTGGGTACGTGTCTACACTGCTGCTACATACGAACTGCTAATTTTGCGATCGTGGCATGCTACCACGTTACGAGAGTGACACACGCCTCCTACCGACCTGAAAGTCAGGATGAGTGAGGCGTCTTTGCATCTGAGAACAGATGATCCAGCTGGGTGGTACGGTAGTAATAATACCGAACCGATTATTCATTACGCAGGTGGAGATGGAAGGTTGCTCAATATGCGTGCACGGACTTCTTACTGCTCCTCTTTTTTAAACAAAACTCACTCCTCCACTTACTTGAATACTTGAAGTAAATCCTCCATATACTTGAATGCCGCGAAGAAAGTGCTTGTTATGGGGAAAAGGCTGTCTGACTCCAAGCCCGTCCTCCAATTCTGAACGGGGGAATTCCAATTCACTCCTGTTACAGAGGGCGCCCTTCGACAACGCAAGCAAGTGTGCTAGGTTAGGGCCTATTTAATAATTATTTCTGTAAGTGCCACCCTCCCAGTGCTAACGTTGCACTACAGGGTGCAGACCAATAATTCAAGTGAGAATTTCTGGCCAGCTCATTAGCATTAAAAGTGCCCCCACATACATCTTTTGAAAAAGGAGATTGTTTGGCCCCCAAAATGGTGAGA